GCCGCCGGGGCCTCCCCGCCAGCCAATCAGCGGCTGCACACGCCTCCTTAGTAGCCGATTGGTGAAGCAGATTGAGCTCTGCGCCTGCGGGCACGTGCCTCTCGGAGGGGCTGCACAGCTGCCGGAGCCAATCAGAAGCTGAAAGTGGAAGTCCCTCCCCTCTACGTGTCCAAGTGATCTTGAGGGCTTGAGCCAATCCGTAGCAACGGATGGCGCCATGGGCGTTTGGATGCCAATTTTCTTCGTGTAAAGCGCTTTCTTGACCAAGATGATGAAAATCACCTGGCACTTCCACCCCCTCACTCTGTTCCTCCTGTTTATTTAACCGTGCCTTATTTTGCTGGCACTTTACCCATTGCACACTTTCAAAATGATTCCTTTGTGACTTACTTGTTTATGGTCTGTCTGCTAGAATAGGAGCTCACTGTGGACATATGTTTTGTCATTTTTTCCCACTGCTGTTTCCTCTCTGGGCTTTGGCCTGAGGTCCTTGCTTCTGTGGGATTAACTTGCCTCCCAGACAGCTGCGTTCATCTCTCACCTGCCTTTCTCTTGCCTGTCCTTCAGGCAGATTGCACCCTCCTCAGGGGCTCCCACACCCATCCTCACTGCTGGCTCAGCCTGGACCACACCAGGCCCAGCGTCTCTCGGCCCCAAGTGGGTACTCTTCCAGGGCCTGCCTCGCCTCAGCCCAAACCCCAGGACACTCTGCCCCGCACATAAAAGGCAGTGCACAGGGGACAGGAGCACTGAGGTGGAAGGCCACAGAGGGACCTGTCCTGGGGAGGGAAGTTCAAGTGTGGCTGGAGGAGGTGACAGGTGTGCGGAACTCAGCGCTGGCACGGAAGCACCTGCAGAGGTTCCTCCTGGTCCCCACGCTTTCCCTTCTCTCTCTTTCTGAGTTGAGAGGGCCAATGAGAGACCATGTGCTCCACTGGTCACCCCTGCGCATATCCGGATCTTAATGTCCTCTTCTAATAAGGGCACCAGTCATACTGGGTTAGGGTTCACCCCAATAACCTTTTGATTTAATCTCCTCTTTACGGTCCCTGTCTGCAAATACAGCCACATTACGAGGTACTAGTGGTTGGGCCTGGTGGTTATGAATTTGAAGGGGGACGCAATTCCAACCCTAACACCCTGGGAGTACAGGCACATTGTTAGGTCCCTTCCTAACAGCACAGGGGTCATTAGGCAGCCAAACCCAGCAGCCTAGGAGTCCCTGAGGCAATGTGGGCCACGAGGAGGTTCTTGCTGAGGACTTAATGATGACCACTGAAGGCAGGCAGGGCCGGACACTTGGCCTTTCAGGCCAGCAATATGGCACGCCCAAGTCTGCAGAGAACATTCATTTCCTCACACTGGTCTCCCTCAACCCGAGGGTTGGCGTGTGATCCCCTGAGGCAGATAAGGAGACTAAGGCCTGGAGGGGGAGGACCCTGCCCTCTGCCAGGCATGGTCCGTGCAGTCAGCCCCACGGAGACAGTGAGTGGGTCGGGAAGCTCCAGGACCAACCATGGAGCCATGTCCTCATGACCGCCTCGGAGTCGCCATCCCATCCATTCTGCCCGTCATTCCTGAGAACCAGCTGTCGGGCTGCACAGGGCAGGTGGGTTTCCTTCCAGCCCTGCCTGTGTCTCTGCCACCGCAGCCTTTACCAACAGCGGCTGGCCTGGCCTAGGCCTCCTGCTTCCCCATTTGTTAGAGAACATCTCCAGGTCAAAGACAAAGCCCGTCTCAACCTCTGCTTGGGCTCTGCTCCCCCAAAGGAGTGCATGCTCACCCTGCAGCACTGCATTCGTTCATCCAGTGGTAAATGGTCCCACTGCCCCGGTGGAGGCAGCCCCCTCTCCGAGGCTCACAGTTCCTCCCTCAACCCCTCCTGAGGCCCGTCCCTGCCAGGACTGACCCTGGGAGCACCTAGAAGCTGGGAAAGGCCAGGCGGTGTCTGCCATCCTTGGGTGGACAGGTGTGTGGGCCAATAGCCCAGAGCTTTGGGTTGGGTGCCCCTGCTGCGTATGGCCTCACTGGGGAAGAAAGAACAACTGCATTTCCAGAGCCCTGGCAGCCCTGACCTGTGGGTGCACAGTTCCTCCTCCGTGGTTGGCCACCTTTCTGACTTCACCCCTGGGCTTCCTGTGGGGCTTCCTCTTCGTCCTGTGACACCAAAGCCCCCACGATGCGACTGCTACCACCGCTGCTGCTGCCCCTGCTGTGGGCAGGTGAGTGGGCATGGGGAGGGGCTCACGGTGGGGCTGGCCCAGCTGACCCTGGCTTCCTCACAGGGTCCCTGGCTCAGGATTCTCAGTACCAACTGAAAGTACCACCTCTGGTGGAGGTGCAGGAAGGCCTGTGTGTCCTCGTGCCCTGCAGAGTTTCCTACCCCGGACACTGCAGGACTGTGTGTGACTCCCCAGCGTATGGCTACTGGTTCCGGGAAAAGGCCAGTATAAACCAGGATGCTCCAGTGGCCACAAACGAACAAAGTCGAGAAGTGCAGGAGGGGAGTCGGGGCCGATTCCTCCTCTCTGGAGATCCCCAGACTTGCAACTGCTCCCTGGACATCAGAGACGCGCAGAGGGGGGACGCAGGCGCGTACTTCTTCAGGGTGGAGAGAGGGCCTGAGGTGCGATACAGTTTCACAGAGAACCTGCTCTCTGTGCGTGTGACGGGTAAGGAATGAGGTCGAGAGGGATGCAGGGGGGGTCCTGAGGGCCCCCAGGGCACAGTAGGGCTGGACCCCTGCTCCTCACTAGAGGGACCCAGGGGAGCAGACCTTGAGCCTCGCTGGGGAACACAGCAGCTCTGCAGCAGAGGGCACTTTTGGGGGCACACTCAGGGGTCCCCACCTTCAGGGCCCAGTCTGCCTTTCTCCCCCCAGATCTGACCCAGACTCCTGACGTCCACATCTGGGGGACCCTTGAGTCTGGCCGGCCCCAGAACATAACCTGTGCAGTGCCCTGGGCCTGTAAGAGGGGGACGCCCCCCACCTTCTCCTGGATCGGGGTGGCCCTCAGCTCTCTGGTCCCCCAGACACCCCTCTCCTCGGTGCTCACCCTCACCCCCGGGCCTCAGCACCACGGCACCAACCTCACCTGTCGCGTGACTCTCCCTGGATCTGGTGTGACCACGGAGAGGACCATCCAGCTCAATGTGTCCTGTGAGTGCTGGGCCAGGACACCCGGGTCCCTGGGGCAGTGGGTTTCGGGGATTTGGGGGGCAGAGCCTGCCATACTAGGGGCTGGGGCTAGGGAGGAAGGAAAAGGATGGTGTCTCTTGCCTTCCTCTTTCTAAAGTTCTTGCCGCTGAAAAGTGAACAGTTATGTCTGTCTGTCCAGATGCACCAGAGAACCTGACCATCCGCGTGTTCCGGAGTAATGGCACAGGTAGGCGGGCCACCCCCAGGGCTGTGGGGAAGCGGGCTCTGCCTCCACCCTCCTGAGCAGAGCTCAGATCTCAGAGCCCAGACATTCAGAGGACAGAGAGGCTCAGGCAAGGTGTGCAGACAGCAGATGGAAGCCTCTCCTCCCTCAGCGCCCTCCATGGGCCCGTCCCTCCCCGCCCTGCCCTTACTGAGGTGCCTGTGCAGTCCAGGGGGTGTGACCGTCGCCAGTGCCAAGCTGTGTCCTTGTCCCACACCTGTCCTCATTCTCCTTAGGACTCGAACCCTGCCTGCACCCTCGGTTTCCCTCTGTTATCTTAATGTTTTCAAAACTAGTAAACAACTTGGTTTATATCCCCTCAGGCTGCCATAGCAAAATGCCACAGGCTGGGTGGCTTGACTAGGAATTGGGAAGTCTGAGGTGAAGGTGCCCACTGAGTCGGGCCCTGGGAGGGCTCCCTTCCTGGCTGGCAGATGGCATCTTTTCGCTGAGTGCCCCCACAGTGGAGGCAGAGCAAGCTGTGGTGTCCCTTCTCACGGCACGAATCCCATCATGAGGGCCCCGACCTCACGACTTTATCTAACTGTAACTACCTCCCCGAAGCCCCTCTCCAAATACCATCACATTGCGGGTTCGAACTTCAATGTGTGAATTTGGAGGAACACATGTCAGTCCATAGCAAAATTTAGTAAGAATTAAATAGTATTCTCCCCTCTTGGCTATCCATCCAAAGACAATCTATGTCTATATATTTACTAACACACACACACTTACACACACATACACCCATACTATACATACTCTCTGTATCTTTATTACTTTTTAAGAATGACTTATTTGATCTTGTTGTAATAATTATTTTTTTAATTTTCCTATGGGGTATGTGTGCTAACTAGAGACAGAGAGAAAGAGAGAGAGAGAGAAAGTGAGAAAGCAAGCTACCAGGTCTGGGACTCGAACTTCAGTTGGTCATGTGGGAGTCCAGTCCCGTAACTATAATGCCATCTGCTGGGCCTTGCATCTATTTTTTTTTTTTTTTTTTTTGAGAGGTGTTTGCTATAGGGTGCATGTGCTTGCCAGAAAGACAGAGAGAGACAGATGGAAAGAGAAATCACCTCCTGGGGGGATGGCCACACCGCAATCCCTTCTCCATCATTCTCCTCTCAGGATCTTGGGCACGCACGCACATGTGCCCAGTGTAAATTTAAGCCGCCGGGTCCGGGACTCAAACCACAGTCAACTACATGAGAATCCAGCAACATAGCCATTACGCTAACTGCTGGTCTCAATTATTTTTTAATCAAATTTCATTTCAGATGATTTTAGATTTTCAGAAAAGTTGCAAAAATGGTACAGAGTTCTCATAAATCCCTTACCCAGCTTAAATCAGCGTGGTGCATTTGTCACAGCTAAGTGGCAGTGACCCATTATTACAGACTAAACTCGATTCTTTTAACTTACTGTATTAGGTAGGTCTTTCTGCGTTGGTACACAGAAAATCTTTGTTCTTATTAAGCACTCCATGGTTTTCCACTTTCAAGTATATTACACTAGAAACTTAACCTGTTTCTCTACTGGTGAAAACAATGGTGTTTCTAGTCTTTTGTTAATACAAATAATTTGTCTGAACACTTCCCAGATGTGCTCACATAAATGCAGGTTCTGTGAGGTTTAACTGTGCCTGAGGCCTTTGCAGTGTCACAGGTAAGACGCCCAAACACACATACTCACAAAGCAATATGACAGGGTTAGGGACAGGAGTCAGGGGACGGTGCCCTGAGAACGAGCAGCTCCGCCCCTCGGGAGCCAGATGGTGGCAAAGCGACGGCAGTGCTACTTTCCCACACGGGAACGGTCCTGGGTCCAGAGTCAAACCCCGGATCAAAGCGTGTATTTGTCATTCCTGTAGAACTTACCAAATTGCACTGCGATTGAAAGTCCCACCAACGACGTACCTACTTCTCTGCTAAACATTTCATCCTTGCTGATGTCATAAGTGAATTCAGAATTAAAATTATAGTTCTGATTTGCATTATTTTGTGACTAGGTTGTGTATCTTTCATTGTACCTAAAACTGATTTGTAGTTTTTGGTCCGTGCTTCTTCTTTTTGTTTGTTTGTTTGTTTCGTTTTGTTTTGTTTTGTTTTGATGATGATTTGAAGAAGCTGCTTTTATTTATTTATTTATTTATTTATTTATTTATTTATTTTGGAGAGGTTTTTGCTATAGGGCGTGTGCACTCGCCGGACAGACAGAGAGAGACAAAGAGATAGAAAGCGAGAAATCACCCCCCAGGGAGGATGGCCATGCCACAATCCC